CCTCACTGTTCCTCCTACTCTTCTTATAGCCGACGCAGTGATGTGTACGTATGAACCGAGAACGACAGGCACATCTGCTTCAAACTAGTCCTCGAAACGATATCGCCGCAGAAAGAGAATTGAATAGTACGAGAAAATCACTAATGTGAAGTTTTGGGGAAGAACTAAACCAGTTCCAACCAATTAAGAGGTGCAAACATATGGTAATCAGTAAACATGACCCACGACCTCCCGTGTCGTCTACTGTCAATCATTTATGATAATTTTCTTTCTTGCCATAGCGGTCTGCTGCCAAATTCCCCCGCTGCAGACCCCAAACCTGTTTATGCAGAGACTATGAAACTGCGCAATAAGAAGGGACTGGCTGCATGGTTAGGGCAATAGGCTCCTCGCGAGAGACTAGGGTTTCGACGTGCGGTAAGAAATTGAAACTTGTCCCTTGGGAGGGGGGGGGGAAGGATGTTCCTTACCTGCTGCACAGTTCGTGGCGACTGCACTAACCATGCGGCCTTAAAAGACAGGGTCAAGACTTCTCCTGTCCTTCAGAGATAATAGCATAAACAAACAAAACTTATTTGGGCGTTTCTACGCCTTGAGATCTATTGAGCTTGTGGTACCTGCCCCTAAACATTTATAGACGCAACCAGCATCCTCATGTGGCCAACATTACGCCTTTACCTTCCAGAGCCTTTCCTTGCAGCCATGGGTTAATCAGACAACGCCACCTCCACTGGGGTTGGTACTTATGACCACTAGACTGGCGGGCGATCGTACTAACCCACTCCGCGCCACCGTGATCCCCTCAGGCTTGCTGTTAGATGCTATAGTGCCCGCCAACTTACAACACTTAACTACTGACGACTATTTTGTGATACATACTCTCTCTGTACCAAAAACTACAACTATGCGCTTAAAAACTCCCCTACCGACACAACAGGCAGGAAAAGCATACAACATCCAACATATCAGACGAGCATGAATCCAATTTTTCTTCGCTGACATCTGCGTCTCACTTCGGGAACACAGCCGCCATATCCAATTCTCGTCTGCCAAATACTCAGGTGGCACTGAGTGCGGAAACGTAATGTCCACGAAGCCTTGGCGAATCAATTAAACATATACGTGGCTTTAATACGAAACATAGAAGGTTTTACGTACAGCCATAGTTACAAGAAACGGAAATATACAGAAATCTGACTGATGAAGTTTGTTTCACTTATTTATGTTGCTGGCGAAGGTAAAGTATTAAGGTATGTCGTTACTACAACGATCTTAGCGTTCAGGTAATTTGCGTAGTGTCGTTACGTTTTTCAAGCAATGTATGTCGAATGCAGGGGCGCCAGCAGCTAGGGGTTTTGGCATCTTGAACTATCACCCCCCCCCCCCTTTTCATATAAAACCATGGATATCGGTTCTCTTCCTAAGTTTTTTTTTTTAAAACCTTTCACATTATTTCAAATTAATATATGTATTTATCTTTCGGCACATTAATTATCTATCAGAAGCAATTTGTTTTCTTCCTTTGTCGTCTCACTTATAGCAGGTTGTAGCCCAGAGTCGTGGTCTTCTGTAACACTTATAACATTAAGTAGGGAAACAAATGTAGGGATAATCATCTGCTGTTTTGCTGGAAGGGACTAGGATAAGATTAGGCCTTAGTGGGTCAGAGTGGTGTTGAGGCATGGTGTACGCCTCGAGTGCTGCAGAGCCGGGTTCAAGCCCTGATAAAGGCCAATATTTTTTTCACGTGCACTGCTAGTAAATTGCCATGGTCTCTGGTTAGTAAGATCGGACGCCCGTGTGTACAGTTGCACACGTTACAAAACATCCCTATGCAGTTGGAAAATAGAAAAGAGTAGCCTAACAGCATTGCCCAGGCACAATTTTGAATTAAAAATCTACCTAAAGTATTTCCGGATTCTCGCCGGTGCAACATAATTTGTGTACAGCGCTGAGATTCTTCGGACTCAGGTTTGAGTTAGAAGTAGAATGGAGGAATTATGGGTTACTACCCTTGGGCCATGATGTTGATCTGTTTAAACGTAAACCTAAAAAACCTAACCCCCTCACCCAAAAGAAGTAAGTGCACTGCATATAACCTCCATTCTGGAGATGTCATAAAACTGATTTCTTTCATCCGTGTTTGTTTTTTGGGATTCGCCGTGGCGTAGCAGCTAGGGATTTGCGTGCGGATTGAAAGATCGTGGGTTTACTCTCTGGCGAAGCTGGACTTTAAAAAAAATTACCTTGACTACCAGGTCGATCCAGCCTTGAGTGGATACTGGGTGCAGTTCTGGGAAGTAAAGGCAGCCGGCGTGATGCTGATCTCATCACCCATGGTGTGCCAATTGGTCTATAAAAATATAGGTCTAGCCCTATATGCCTTAAGGCGTGGAAAAGGGACCTTTACTTTATGTTTTTAACTAAATCATTAGCCAGTCTAAGAAAACATGGCTCCTATTTTCTCATTCCGCAGGTGTAAAAAGGTTGAAGAACACTGGTCAAGATGACCCCTAACCCATTTAAAACACATCATTGGTGTACAGACTGTATCAGCCCGTAAATCATGTACGTATGTAAGTTGTACCCTACCAGGACATCACACAGAGCGGTAAACACCTAGTGACACAAAGTGCCACCATGTGGATGAGAATCACCCGTGGAGAGGTCTCAGAAACCCCGTTAAGCCATATTTATGTCCCGGCTGTATTTAGAGCCCTTGGCAAAATCCAGGGTGGGGCTTCAAATAATGAAAAATTGCGTCCCACATAGAGGTGATTAACTGAAGAGTGAATCACGAGAACAGTTGAAAGTTACATATAAAATATCAGAACAGCTAGAATATGTCACAAATTATGTAAATATAATACAATGTAAAAGTTAGAATATGTCACATTAGAGAGAACTATGATGAATGCTGCTATACAGTAAGTTGGCAGAAACAGCATAATATAAAGTATAAGAACAATTAGAGCACTCAAGGAACAATGTGAACAGCAAGATCAAGATTTTCCAAGCGGGTGTGGTGACAAGTCAATTACTTAAGCGTACAGCTCAAGAGCATCAAGTATGAACACAAACAAGTAAAACGTAAAGGTAAAGGACTTTCTTGTGATTTTGACTTCTTTTTCATGAGGCCGCGGTAGCCTAGTGGCTAGATGCTTGCCACTCAGACTGAAAGTCTTGAGGTTGAATGTGCATCAAGTAGGGATTAAAAAAAAATAATAAAGAACTTGGATCTCAGGTCACACACTGTTATGCCTAAAATTGTTGCCAGGTAAAGTCATGAGAAGTAAAGGTGACTGGTAACAGGGTGACTACATCACCCTTTAAGGGCCGATGGCTCTATAAAAATATGAGTAGCATCATACATTGGTCTGATAGTTTTCAGACTGTACAAGGGAGACTACATCCATAAACTGACTTATGAATCTTAGAATTGTCTCCCTTTCTTTTTAGTATAACTATAACATGCCTGGAAGCAAATTAACACTAAACTTACACCATGCAAGTCATAACAGAGGACTGGGTGAGGGGGGGGGGGGGGGGGGGGGGTGTACTGTGTCAAACTGGCTATTCAACCCATAGAATACTTCAGCTCCACACTGAACAAATTAAAATCAAGTTTTCACAGGACTTCACACAAGTCGGCTGAGGGTCTTTGCTTCTTTGGAAGAAGACATGTTGAAGACGACAACAACATGCAACAGTAAAAACAGATAACAAATGGCCTTAGATTAATTAAGCTCCACTTACAGTGAGGTGGGTAATTAGATTTCAAGACCAGGTGAATTCAAAGATCTAAGTAATTTTCTTATCAAACATTTCATTACATCATTACTGACAACCGGTATGCTAACATAAAGTGAAATTTGTGATAAGTCTATCTGACTGGCTGCTTCTGATGCACACTAGACAATACTCTGCTAAAAGTGCTACCCCATTTATGAAGCTGGGTTCTACTGTAAGCCTTCTTCTCCTCTGCAATCAGTGTTGTCTTTAAGTGTCAGCAATATATGGAGACAGTGATTCATTTCAGACACAGACGAGGAAACGCTAAAGAACTATCATATGAATGACAGGTTTACACTGATGAGTTTTCTAGATTCTATGATGCATAAAACGTGAGTTCAATAACTTTATGTAATCATACAGTTTTGTTAATTTTTAAAAAACAAATTTCCAGTGCAAAAAATCAAGATGCGTCTTAAACATGGGATCATATTATACTTGTGGAAATACAGTATATTGCTGTTAAATAGCAGGGGCAAAGAAACACATCCCATGGCAGACACCTGACTATAAAAAAAAAAAAAAAAATTTCACACAATAAAGCCTACTGAGCATTAATTGACAGCACCATATTTCTATAGAGACAAACTAAAATCTGAAGGATAATGTTGTCAAAATATAATAATGAATAAAGTGGACCAAACATATAAATAAAATAAATCTGCCAGAAATACAAAAAAGAACTGTTAAGTACTCACAGAATGGAAAGAAAGAAATCCTCAAATACCAGAGACCTTTCTCTACCTCATACACCCATATTCTCAATGAAGCCAAAATTAGATCAGCATTACAAATGCATTTTAACTTGTCAAACAGAACTCAAAGCAAACAGAGCTAAACAAATCTTAATCCAAGCATAAAATGACTTTTTTCTCTTTGACTGTAACTGTTTACCATCTTAAATGTGTTTACTGTTAGGTCGCAAGTGGTAAATTATAATTTAGATTACGATACAGACTGGATAAAAGATGTGCCATTATTACAAATGAAGCACTGTGTTGGACAAGTGAAAGAGAAAAGAACTAGTGATAACATATAATCTCACTGCAGCCAGGTTGTTTATTTTTATCAGCGTTTAGTTATTTCACTGCTCACAGAGTGAGAGCCTTATGATGAGTAAGAGTTATATACTTGACAAAGACTGTGAAAGAATTTTGTGAAACCAAAATAAAGCAACAATGCAACCAGAACACCATTCACCTACTCACCTCAAACTCCCGTAGCTCAAACATATTCTTTAGAATGACAATGCGTTCATGTTTTGCCCTCTCAAATGGATTCTTCTCTGGCCTCCAGTCAAATAATCTGAAGAAAGAAAGTCAAATAAATATTTTTCCTCCATTCATATTTCGTATTATTCTACCCAAGTATATAGAGGAACTTTATGATGATGAACTGTTGTCTAAACCTAAACCTATGTGGGTATAATTTCAAGTAAAGTAAAGGACCCTTCTTCACAACTTTAGGTGTACTGGGCATATAGGGCTAGTCCCATACTGTAGTATAGAACAATCAATCCTTGGTGGTCAGCATCACGCTGGCCGCGCTTACTTCCAGAGACTTTTACCTGGCACCCATTTTTAAAAACGCACAGCAGAATCCCGATTTGAACCGACGACCTTTGGATTTGCAGGCGAGTGTCTAGCCACTACCCCATGGTGGCTCCTGTATAATTTCAAACATTTGTTTAATTCTGTTACTGTTTGAGCTAGCTTTTGCAAAAGGCTACTCTTGTCGTGAGCATTCTTCTTCTAATCTCTACATGGCATCGCCATCAAATGTTTAAGCCATTTCCCTTGCATTAAAAGGCCATGGATTCATTTCACAGATTATAGCCCTCACTTTACATGTGCACTTTTATGGAAATGTCTGGTGATCGTAGCTGGAGCTAAAGAATGTGTGCCTTGTGTGATGTTCTTAGCAGGTGAAAAGCCAAAAGAGAGAGAGAGAGAGAGAAGAGGGTGACAGAGAGGGGAGAGAGAGTGAAAAAGAGAAAGAAGGAGAGAGAGAGAGAGAGAGAGAGAGAGAGACAGAGATGGGAGAGACTTACTTAAATAGGTACAGAAATCCACAATACAACAGTCAACTCACTTTTGCTGTCTTTCTTTAAGCTTCTGTTTGGCCTTATTGCTGAGCTTCTTCTTCTTTTTCTTGGGGTCAAAGCTTCCTTTCATTTGAAACTTTGCCCTCTCCACAGTTACCTTGTGGTCTCGTAACTCCATGCCATCAATGATCTGGAAGGCCAGCTGGACCGATTCGGGCTGAAATTATAACATAACAGGACACAATAAATAACACTTGTCTCAGAAAATTCTTGCTATGAAACATGATTAACCTGTTCAGCTTGTACAACCCCTATCATTGTAGTTCATTCACTAAAATCCCTGTGTATGTTTCAGGGCCCATTTTTACTAAACAAATTTTTTAAAAAATTATAAAAGATGACTAATGAAGGATTTGCCGAAAATGGATGTGTTGAGCAAAAAGGTGCAGATATCACAGCCTAGCTGTAAGCTCCAACATGCTGAGGCATGAAATCTGATAAAAAAAATTACAAGTGATCACACAGGATTAGCTGGTGATATAACAACAGTATAAACATATGTACTTTGAATTTACTTCTCTGCTGTCATCAGTACCTACATGTTGAAAAAAAAATATGCTAAACAATCATAATCATAAACACTACTAACATAAAGCATAAGGCAAGAAATCTCAAAATCTGGCCAGGGGTGTCCTTTTTTACATCCAATAAAAAGTAAAGTAAAGGACCCTTTTCCATGCCTTTAGGCCTATATTTTTATGGACCAATCGGCACAAGATGGGTGATGTGGTCAGCATCACGCTGGCCGCCTTTACTTCCCGGGACTGCACCCGGTACTCACTTAAGGCAGGGTCGACCTGGGAGCCAAGGTCATTTTTGAAAAAAATTTAACTCCGTTTTCACATCCAATAAAGCAAATACAAACTTATAAGAACATGCCAGAGGTTTATTCAACACCTGGTTGAGGTTTAATGTTCAATTTGGTCGAGGAAAGATCCAAAATTACCAAATGTGATGGTGAAACATAAATGTGATACAAACATTTACATGAGTACATTTTCAATAATTCCTGGGAAGTAAAGGCAGCCGACGTAATGCTGACCACGTCCTCCATCAAGTGCCGACTGGTCTATTAATATATAGGTCCAGCCCTATATTCCCAATACGCATGAAAGCGTACTTTACTTTATTGTCATTAGTAGCCAACGGCGATAATCAAACAGCCAACAGCCGTTTATGACCAAGGCCAAAGCTCTGAGCATAATTAGTAGGTTTTAATATAAAAGAAATAATATGAAATCTGTTTTCTTTTGGTAAATATAATCATACCCACTAAGTCTACACACTATACAGCTGCAACCAGTAGCAAAACTGTAGTATAAGTGTGGTGGCCATTGCCAAAAGACTTCATGTCATCAAAAATGCCAGAAAAATGGCTTCCTCTGTGCAATAGGGTTAAATCCCCACTGGTATAAAGAGAGCTAATACACTGCAATAGTAGAAGCATATATAGATAACAGCAGATAACAGAGAGACACAAACTGAGTAGACAAAAGCTTTGAATGGGAGAACAGACCAGGAGGCAGACCAAGAAGATTGTGCAGAGATAATATACAGGCAAACCTACAAACATCTGCAGTCACTGAATAGAAAAAAAAAAAAGGTCACTCACAGACAAGAATGGAGGCATGCAATAACTGCAGCAACGAATCTCAAAGGTTTGGTATGTTCCTACCACCGACGTCTATCCTCTAAGAAACACCTGGAACTATTGCAAAGAAAACCCCACATTTCGCAGCCTAGCTTTGAACTCACTAGCGAACTGTAAAGCAAGAAGGGTGAAGAGGAGAATTCATTAAGTTCTCAAGTGTATTCTTATAAACAATCCAGAAAACGAAAGAAGAAAAAACGGGCGGTGGGAGGAGGGTGGGGTTGGAGTTTGTGAGCGACTCTATAGAAAGTGACCATGGTATACAATTTGGTACAATGAAGACTACCTCTCCTTTAATAAAGGAGAGATACTGGTCACCTGCGGACTCTTCTTCCATGAAACATGCATTCCATTAATGGTCATTTTAAACTGCTGCAGTGTCATGTGCGATCAAGTAATTCAGTTTCTGAGACATGATGTTTGTAAGCCAGTTTCTGTAAATATTCTCTTCCTTTTCTGTCAATACTTTCTTCTTTGTTATCAATGGTATTCTATTCTAAGAATAAATTGACATCTCCAGGATAAATTTTTTACCAGTGAGAGTAGCAGAAAAGTTAGGATATTCACTTTACTTGGCAACTTAAAAATGTGTTTTTAATTAAATTCTTTGCCATCTTCACAATGAAGGATGGCTGTGCACCACTGTTCTATTTGTAGTATCCACATTATTTACACACCAAAAACAAAATCCAGCATTACATAATACACGCACATATTATATAACTTGACCACCTTACAGATACTAATGTATACTTATATTATAGTACACACATTATGGTCAACTATTATATTACCTTGATGTATGTGCAGAGACCATCCCCTTTATAATTTCCTTCCTCATCTTTGTACAGTTTAATTTTTGGTTTACGTGTGGCTGGATCAAACATGATTAAACCACATTTACCCATGATGTCTTTGAACTCATCTTCAGTTATATCGGCTGGTAAACCAGTAATATACAGTTGTGTGGAGGTATCTGGATTAATGTCAAACCAACCTGGAAGATTGCAAGCCAAAGAAACAGATAGAGACAATAAAATAAAATGCAACAAGTAGGAACAGCCTTAATGGCAGTGGGGAACTTATGGTAATCAACAGAAACTGAAAACTATTACTAAATGTGTTACATTTAACTCTAATTTGTAACAATACTTCCCCGTGTGGGTTCAGGGACCCACTGTTGGAAAACAAGAATAGACCCACTGCCTCCCCAATAAGTATGTTGTAGGAGTCGATTAATTGGGGAGCTTCCTTCAAAGTCTGAGTGAAGCTACCTGAGCAGCAATGAACAACCAGCTGCACACAAATAAGCCAGTAAAATGGATGTACATGCAAAACTCAGACCCTGGCACAAAGCAAAAGCCCAAATGGACAAACAACCAGGACTTTCCACCGTAGCTTACAACCGGTGAACAAAGAAGAAGAAGGAATCAATACTGTTGCAGTGAAGATGTGTAGCCTAGCATTTCTTTGTTACATCTCTATCAGTTCACATTATTAACTCAGTGCTGCTATGGGCTTACTCACATATGTTTTTTCTATTCTCAAACTGACTAGAATTTCATTATTCTTCACTATCGCAACTGAATACTGATAAATGAGCTTCTAGTCAAAATGGACGCTAGGCACGATCACTGCTTTAAGTCGTGGCAAATTTTCTGTTTCTGCCAGACGGTGACCGTTGCATTTTTGCTCTATTTGTAGACTGAAAGGAAATAGTTTAATCGCCCAGCTACTGAGCTGAGTGCATGGCACGACACTGTGAGCTGCAGATTTCATTTAGAATGTTTCTTTTTACTGTGACCAAAGTGGTGTTGTGAATTGTAGATTCAGAAAATGGTGAGTGGCCTGTTGTCGCAGTACTAGTGGTGCCCTTAATTTGATTAAAATTGATCGTGTGTGCAATTGCTGATCTGTGTTACTTCTGCTACTGTCAATGATAAACTGTATTTCTAATGTCAGACTGTTTGAGTTAGCATTTCTGATGGCTACCGTACGCTTTTAATGTGTGTGTATGCTAGTGCATATGCTGAGACAGCAGTCTGTCAATATTTCTACAAGGAACTGTGATGAACATTTGGTTTGTTTTTTCTTGACACAGGAGCAGAACAACTATGGGGTGACGTGTTTGCTAAGTAGCTGAAACTAAGATTACCACGATTAGAGATAAATGAGAAAACCTCTATTTCACAGTTACAATAATGGAATAGTAGCTCACTGCACTTACAGCACCAACCCTGTTAGTTAATTAGTTAGTTAGTCGACAGGTCATCCTCATTGCTCATTTAACCATTCAGTCTATAACCGAATGTTTCCCCTCCTCAGTAAACTCCACAGCAAGTAGCAGCCGATATACCAGTTCTGTGTTCGTTTATGTTTTATTATCCTTTGGCTTCCTGCATAGTGCTCTTGTCTGACTTCACCACTTTTCATCTGCTGATCCTGTAGTCTGGTCATAGCTGTCAGTTCATAGTCAGCACCAACTCTGTGGGAATCACAACATGTTGCAGGCATGCAGAACATACAGTGATATTCAGCAGAATTTGTCAACAATCAATTTCCTTCCATGAAAAATTGTAACAATACTTCCCCGTGTGGGTTCAGGGACCCACTGTTGGAAAACAAGAATAGACCCACTGCCTCCCCAATAAGTATGTTGTAGGAGTCGATTAATTGGGGAGCTTCCTTCAAAGTCTGAGTGAAGCTACCTGAGCAGCAATGAACAACCAGCTGCACACAAATAAGCCAGTAAAATGGATGTACATGCAAAACTCAGACCCTGGCACAAAGCAAAAGCCCAAATGGACGAACAACCAGGACTTTCCACCGTAGCTTACAACCGGTGAACAAAGAAGAAGAAGGAATCAATACTGTTGCAGTGAAGATGTGTAGCCTAGCATTTCTTTGTTACATCTCTATCAGTTCACATTATTAACTCAGTGCTGCTATGGGCTTACTCACATATGTTTTTTCTATTCTCAAACTGACTAGAATTTCATTATTCTTCACTATCGCAACTGAATACTGATAAATGAGCTTCTAGTCAAAATGGACGCTAGGCACGATCACTGCTTTAAGTCGTGGCAAATTTTCTGTTTCTGCCAGACGGTGACCGTTGCATTTTTGCTCTATTTGTAGACTGAAAGGAAATAGTTTAATCGCCCAGCTACTGAGCTGAGTGCATGGCACGACACTGTGAGCTGCAGATTTCATTTAGAATGTTTCTTTTTACTGTGACCAAAGTGGTGTTGTGAATTGTAGATTCAGAAAATGGTGAGTGGCCTGTTGTCGCAGTACTAGTGGTGCCCTTAATTTGATTAAAATTGATCGTGTGTGCAATTGCTGATCTGTTTTACTTCTGCTACTGTCAATGATAAACTGTATTTCTAATGTCAGACTGTTTGAGTTAGCATTTCTGATGGCTACCGTACGCTTTTAATGTGTGTGTATGCTAGTGCATATGCTGAGACAGCAGTCTGTCAATATTTCTACAAGGAACTGTGATGAACATTTGGTTTGTTTTTCCTTGACACAGGAGCAGAACAACTATGGGGTGACGTGTTTGCTAAGTAGCTGAAACTAAGATTACCACGATTAGAGATAAATGAGAAAACCTCTATTTCACAGTTACAATAATGGAATAGTAGCTCACTGCACTTACAGCACCAGCCCTGTTAGTTAATTAGTTAGTTAGTCGACAGGTCATCCTCATTGCTCATTTAACCATTCAGTCTATAACCGAATGTTTCCCCTCCTCAGTAAACTCCACAGCAAGTAGCAGCCGATATACCAGTTCTGTGTTCGTTTATGTTTTATTATCCTTTGGCTTCCTGCATAGTGCTCTTGTCTGACTTCACCACTTTTCATCTGCTGATCCTGTAGTCTGGTCATAGCTGTCAGTTCATAGTCAGCACCAACTCTGTGGGAATCACAACATGTTGCAGGCATGCAGAACATACAGTGATATTCAGCAGAATTTGTCAACAATCAATTTCCTTCCATGAAAAATTGTAAACAAATGATGGAAACCTTTAAAAGACCATAGACTTATTTACTTAGTTATCTTCTTCACATTCACTGACAGTACACTCTGGCGAAAAATTCAGTTTGTTTGTCCACCTCTGGACTCTAGTCCTGTTCCAGAAACTGAGTGTTGGATGTTTACCTTTTCACAGGTCCGAGTTATTTACATGCAGACTGTTGGTTCCTTGCCTCTCAGGCAGATGTACTCATACTTCGAAGGAAGATCCCAATTAGACGACTCGAACAACATGCTTTTGGGCAGGCAGTGGGTATATTCTTGTTTTCCCCGGAACCCAAGCGGGGAAACTTATTTATTAATGTGAACAAGATAAAAAAAGGAAATGATGAAACTGAGAGAAAAACAACAACAAGAAAGCTAAAAAACCTGGAACATGGGGGAAAAAAGGGGGAGGGGGGGGGCAAGATAAAGAGAACACAGTGTTTACATACAAGGGCAAAGGTTAGGGCAATTTGTGCCAAGCTGGCTGAGGGTCTAAATTCCTATTTGAAGGAAGAAAAAAATAAGACGAGCTCAATTATTTTAAAAAAAAAAAAAAACAACAACAACAGCAAAAGAATTAAACAATTATTAACTGAATTTAAAATACTGTAAAAGAAGAATCTCCAAATAATTTGGTCATCACTTGTGTTAGTTAATAACATGTACAGCATCAATACCCTTACCTTCTTCTTTAGGAGGCTCTTTCCTTTTCTCCCCTTTTTCTTTCCCTTTTTCTTTCTTCTTCTTGTTCTTCTTTGTGTCTTCTTGAGTTTCCTTGACACCTCCCCCTTGTGCATTCTGAGCTATAAAGTCTGGCATGGCCTCAGCATCAGGATGCTCCTTATAATAATCTCTGTAAGCATCTGCATACTCCTTGCCATAATAATAAAGGTTGTATTCATAATGTTCATCTGAGGTGGGATCAGGAGCAACAAGGTTGTCAGAAGCTACAGATTTACTCTCTGTGTCCTTATTTTCTTGTTTCGGTTGATCTTCAGCTTCTACTGGGTTACCTTCTTCGTCAAGTGTTGGTAGAGCTGGTTGCTCCTGATGGTACACATTGTAGTAGTTCTTCCAGTATTCTTCGTACTGTGCTTTTTTGTCTTCTTCACTGAGTTCTTGTCCTGCTGTGCTTGTAACTGTTGTACCATAGTTGATCTGATACTGAGCTATGAAATCTGCATCAATCTAGTTTGAAAAGACAAAAAAAAACAATCAATTACAATCAAGATACATGAATTTATTTTGACTTCTAACCCTATTTCTTTGTTAATGCTGGTAGCAGGCTGCCTTTCTGCTTGGTGGTCATAAGCCTGAATCCCCCATTTTATTAGAAATAAACAAATTACAAAGACTCAAATATGTCTGCTTCTTTTCCTCCTAGTCTAGTTTCTTAGGATACAGTTAAGAGAATAATAAGGATGTGTTCCTATCTAACATGCTGTGAGCAGGTCATTTCTTTAAAGATTGTTTTTGATCCAAAGGGTTAACAGCAAGAGAGCCATAGTTAAGACTGTTTTGGATCCAAAGGGTAAACAGCCAAGTGAGCCAGAGTTAAGACTGTTTTGGAGCGTAGGAGTTAACAGCAAAGAGAGTCACAGTTAAGACAGTTTTAGGGCCAAAGGGTAAACAGCCAAAAGAGCCACTGTAGCCCAGTAGTTAGTTTGCCTGCTTGTTCGTCTGGTAGTTATTTGTTTAATTCTCAACCAAAGTGGACAATTTAAATAACATTTACCTTGACTGCAGCCAAGCAGAAAAATTACCAAACAGGCAGTAAAATAAGAAAAAGAAAAAAAAACTAGAAATGATAACATGAACGTTTATGAGAGAAGCCAAGGGTGCCGAGCTGAATTCCATCCGCATGATATCAAAAGGATTGCACAGGACAGAAAGGAATGGAGGGACAGACTGCCAGCCTTATGTGACATAGAAGGAACAGATTACTGGCCCCATGTGACACAGGAGGAACAGACTGCCAGCCTTATGTGACATAGGAGGAACAGATTACTGGCCCCATGTGACACAGGAGTACCAGACTGCCGGGTCCTATCTGACGCAGAAGGAACCTGGGTCTCCCGCTTGAGAGCCCAGCATTCTAACTGTTCAGCCAGCAGCTCCTCATGTGGTGTTTGGTCACCACAAATATGGGCCTGAATACTAGGGCTGTACTGAATAGTGATTTTCACAATTTGGCCGAATACGAATACTGAATCATCAACATCAGATGCTTTGCCGACTGGCATGGGCGATTATGCCTTGCCACATTCTGCGATCTCCATCAGCATGTATTAGTTTGTGCCATGCAACAAGACTGTCAAGAATCTTCTCTCGCTGTCTTCCTCTATCCCTCCTTCTACATATCTTTCCAGTGGTCACCACATGCTCCATTTTCCCTCAACTTTTAACATGGCCGAAAAATGAAGACTGTCTCCTTCTGATATCTGTGAATAGTTGTCTTCGGGCTCCCGCCTATATCAAAGCCTCTTGGTTGCTTTTGTGTGTGTGTGTGTGGCTGTACAAGGTATTTTAAGCATTGTTCTGTAAAACCACATCTCTGAGGCCTCAAGAAATTGTTTGGCCTGCCTACCGATTGTCCAGGATTCACAGCCTTCTGTTAAAACTGGATGTATGTAGCAAGCAAGAATTCTTTTTCTAACCTTCAATGACAAAGATATATATAGCATAAGATTTTCTTTATATTTTCATTTTATAAAATGCAGTTTTTGCCTGTCCTATTTGTTTCTTATTTGAGTAATGCATCTTCTGTCTGATGTTATCCATGTGACCAGATACTTAAATTTATGTACTTGTCCCAAAATCAAACCATTGACTTTTATTACACATTTAGGAATAATTATTTCTTTGATACCACCATTACTTCTGTCTTCCCACTATTCAAACTGAGACCCATTCTTCCACATTCGAATAGTGTATAAAATAGATCTAAAAAAAACAATCCATAATGTCAAATGTATGCTGAAATTTTACTTCACAAAATGTAGTACAGAATAGTAAACATTTAAAAACATTTCATGTTTAGCATCCTTCAGTCAGTCAGTCTGTGGTAACTAATACCTAGGAATGAAAGTATTCTTAGTTTTATAACAAGTAACCAAACTTGTAAATTGTCCTGACAGCTTAGTTAATCCATGAAAGCGGCATAAGCTTCCCCCCCCCCCCCCCCCCCCACAAAAAAATGGTTCCAGGTTGTCAGCATTAAGGCAGCTTCTGGTCTCACTGAAGGTATTTTCAGCTGTACTAAACAGACGTTCACTTGGTACGCTCGAAGGTGGTGCAAAAAGATAACGCTTGACAGTATGAACCAAGGTGGAAAATCTTGATATGCTTATTTTCTACCAGTCCAGAAACGGGTATAAGGTAACCACTATTCGTATTCGGCCCGACCGCAACTATTCAGCAGAATACTGAACAGTTATTAGGTCCACTATTAGGCCCAGAAGCGAATATTCGGTACAGCCCTATTAAATACAATAAAGCCAGGTAATGAAAATAGGAATGACTGGGACCACAGTGGCAGTAAACAAGTGTGCTATCTATGACACCCCAATAGTTCCAGCTAATTCGTTACCTTGGGAAAATATGCCTTTCTTTCGTGATCCCACTCCATTACTGTTCCATCTTCATCAGTGTATGATATCCCACGAGAAAGTGCCTCGCCATCTTCCTGAGCAAGTCTGGCCAGCTCTTCTTGGCGCAGCTGCATTTCAAATTCATCTTCTTCTGGTTTTTTTGCCATCTAAAATAAAGCAAATGCATTTATTATGATTCTAATTAAATCAAAATGACAAACAAACTAATTTTCCCCTGTTTTGCTTGTTCTGACAAAAAAAAAACTTGTGTTATATTTGTTTGCATAAAGCTTTTCTCAGGTTTTACATTTTACTTTTCAAAATCTTATTAGGAATTGGAGTTGCCTTTACTCTTAAACTCCTGCTATCAATATATCTATGCCCTGAAGCATGTCTATGCGGCCATCAAGGTAAAGAAGGAGCCATTATAACCAACTCTTCACTGGAACAATCCGTAGATGTACCTTGACGTGGCTGCTGCATTGGAGGATTGTGCACCCATAGGAATGCTCAACATAAAGTGATGTCAAATGTGATACAAAAAACATATCCAGGATATGAAAAATGTGATATGAATAGACAGCTTGAGAGATTTCTTGTGAAAACCCATATACAGAAGGGTAAGGAAATGCTCATATAATCTATGAAGGTATTTATTTCAAAAGCTTAAATTACTGAGGATGAACAACACAATAACTTACCCTGACCTGAGTTTAGTTCTGAATTTTGAACTTTCATGCATTAGCTAATTGTCTAACTCTGAGGCAGTAGGTTAGTTCTGATTCTTTGACTTTTGCAGTAATTAGTTCTGATTCTCGGACTCCTCTAATGCAGAAATTGGTTGTGAAGTTTTTACTTTTATGCAGTAGGTAGTTATTATTTTCTTCCCTTCTGCAAACAGTCAGGCTATGAGTCAATGACAAGGACTCACTTTTATTAACACAGCACCTATTATGATGACATGTCTGGGGTCAAACAGCCTCATCACAATTTTTTAGGAAGGAAAGGCAGCAATGAAAGGAACTGATGATTTCACATTTTTTCATATTGGACATTTGTGTAAGGGTCTGTTCTAACGACATCCATTTATTTTCATCTGATATGAGCTATCACAAACAAAATGCAATATCTCAAATAAAATAAATCAAAATTGGGCTCTACTGGCAAATTTGGCCGGTAAGCTGGACTGCTTCGGCCGGCTTAGCGGGGCTTAGTGGGAGTTATGTCCCTTGGCCAAACTCAAAACAACTCGCGGAAAAAGTCACAAATCAAACGGCATACTTACCTATCATCATCCGGGTGCGTGTAGGGTTGCGTAGGGTGTCTATCATCGTCCTACGGTTGCGTGTAGGGCTGCTTATTGCGTGTAGGGTTGGATGTTTGCATAAGATAGATGAGGGGTAGGGTTAGGGGTTAGGGTTAGCGTTTAGGGTTTAGGTGTAGGGTTAGGGTTTAGTGTAGCGTTAGATGTGACAATTGTGACGCTGTAGTTCCCTACAATCGCGCACAGTCGCATGCACGCGCAAACAGTCGACGGACGGTGGATGCTACTGACACGGACAATTCGCCACCGATTGGGCACCAGCCGCGCGCTATTGCCGTCATATTTGGCACACTTCCAGTGGAGCCACTCCCACAAGTATCAGATTGTCGGCCAGTATTTCCACCTCCTACGTGAATATTTTCACATCATCTAACTCTAACCCTACCCCTACCTCTACCCCTAACCCACACCCTACGCAACCCTATACACAACCGTATGATGATGATGATAGACACAATACGCATCCCTACACGCAACAGTATGATGATGATAGACACCCTACGCACAACCGTATGATGATAGGTAACCCTAGACGCAACCCTACGCAGCCCTACACGCACCCGGATGATGATAGGTAAGTATGTCATTTGATTCGTGACTTTTTCCGCGACTTGTTTTGAGTTTGGCGAAGGGACGCGAAGGGACATAACTCCCACTAAGCCGGCCGAAGCAGTCCAGCTTACCGGCCAAATTTGCCAGTAGAGCCCAAAATTGTGACATTTTAAATTTGTTATTCTTCTTCTTTGCATTATGATTCACCGGCTGTAAAATATGGCACATATTCTCGGTGGTTGTTTCCTTCAGAACCTGAGTGTTGCATGTCGTGCACATATGATCCGTTTACAGATGTAACTTATTCATAATATTTGTTTGATAGTGATTCTCATTCTGATGTGATGAGCACTCCGACTTTGAAGGAAGTCTTACATTAGTAAAAACTATTATTACTTTTATTTTACGAAAATCTTTTGGGGGAGGCAGTGGGTGGGTTTACTCTTGTTTATGTTTTGCTCACACAAAAGCCGCACAGGAACCAACACTCTATTATTTATAATTTTAATTCATTACGGTAATGATTACCTGATCCGATCCTGATGTGAAGTTCCGATGGCAATAAATAAATTTAAATGAAAGCCGTTTATAGTTTTATTTGGTTTAATTATTTCAAAAAACTGAATTAACAAATCTAATTTTTAAGTCACCTTCAACTCTTAAGAAATAATCAAAAGTCTAGCTGCTTGTCAAAATGCAAATCACTTCATGATCTGTTTTGCTCGTTTAAACATCGTTTCGTATCTTCACTCTTCACGTTACCATCTCGTTTCTTTCAAAACCTTGCACATTCATTTTTAAAATAGCCAACACTATACAATTTGGGATTATACCATCTATTTATAAGTTTATTGTTTAAATAGTTACAACGTCGTATAAACATCGGTCTACATGAGTCCGTGTAGAAATAGCCAGGATACTAAAAATGGCGTCAATGTTCAAGAAGCCTAGGAGAAATTTCAGAAGAAAGGGCTGTGGAGTGGATTCTGATAACGACAATGAAGCTAAAGACGAAAACATAGAGGCAAATGAAGGCCTGGCAATACCTTTTAAATCACCTAAAGAGAAAGCAAAGAAGCAAGAATCGAAAGAGAAAGAATCGCGGTCCAAAACTGTTCTCAGCTTTGAAGTGGATGAAGACGAAGGCAAGTAATGTATCTGTTGGAGATAATTAATTTTGTACAAAAAAGATCAAAAATAATAAATAGTCTCACACATAGGTAAGAATTAGGCTCTCCTTTCAATACCGGACGAGTTCAGTTTAGTGGGAGTTCTCTCCCTTGGCCGCACTGGAAACAGTGAGCGGAAAAGTCACGAAACAAATGACATACTTACCTATCATCATTCATACGGTTGCGTGTAGGGTTGCATAGTAATTAAACGGTTGCGTGTAGGGTTGCCTATCATCATACGGTTGCGTAGGGTTTGGGTTAGGGGTTAGCGGTAGGGGAAGGGAGAGAACTCCCACTAAACTGAACTAAGCCGTCCAGCCCGCGTCCAGCCCTCGTCCGGTATTGAAAGGAGAGCCAAGAATTAGATGTATCAGCAATTAGTTATAGATTGTGTGAAAGCTCAAATACAGAATAATAAAGAGTCAGCATAAAAAGTGGGCTATCCTCCAAATAAATAAGTTGGCTCTCTTTTAAATAACAGTCCCAAATGATCTACGCAGAAAGTTAACCCTAACAGAGCCTCATTACGTCCTACCTTACAAAGATTTAAAAGTTGTAGCTCGGAAAATATAAGGAACGAAAAGTGTGAGGAAAACGGCTAAGTCTACTACTTACCGACAGTTGAATCCTTTATATGTGAAAATTTCGGCACAGAAGTTGCAAATCTAGTGCCCGAATATCTGTTCTTTCTGTCTGTCCGCCATTTCAACAGGGCGCGGCTTGTCCGCAATTCTCGTTCCGGGCGAGACATAATCAGTAATGTGCATTTTAATGTACGTGCACGTCGCCTCGGGACAACTTCAAACCAGCAGTCAGTGCCTTGGGACAACTTCAAACCAGCAGCCGCCACTATGGCGCTCCACTATCCCGACCACCCCTTGACCGTGGCGAATGCGACCACGCTGGCAGTTACGACGGAAGAAGTAGCTCATGACTGTTTCCTTGCGACTATAGTGTCACATCCGAGAGTATCCCCCGCGCGGCGCAGAAGGGGCTAAACTAGATGGCTAGGACTCTCGAGCAAAAACAATGGAGGAAGCTGCAGGAGAAGCGGTAGCTGCTGCTCGTGAGTCCCAGCCATCTAGTTTAGCCCCTTCCCCGCCGCGCGCGAGGGGGATACTCTCGGAGGTGGCACTATAGTAGGCGAAAAGTGATCCGCAACTTACATATAACTGGGGCCCTGCCGTAGGAATGCGCTATCGGGAGTATTCTTGCGTGTCGCTAATTTTTTGTCCGTAGTTAATCCTAGTTTTGCCGCCGCTTGATCGTCTTTAAAAAATCCGTTGCGTTTCGCGAAAATGTCGTGCGCAATTAATCTTACTTTTGATGCGGTAGATTCACCGGAAAAGTAATGCAAATTTTAGATATGAGTGAGTCACTGTTAGGGTTAACTTTCTGCGTAGATCATTTGGGAAGTTATTTAAAGGAGAGCTAATAAGTTAAAATGGACGGGGCTTTCCTCCGAACTTCTACCCCAGCATTATGGCGACCAAGCAAATAGCCTAACAGGGCCTCATTTGTGTGTGAAATGCAGACTTTTTGCCAAGCAACAAATCGCAGTAAAACTAGGATCGGCTCCGAATAACGAAACAAATGCTCTAACAGGGTCTCAGCGATATGTTAATTTGCGGACCTGTTTCTGCGATTATGCCGCACCGCTGACAGTACCCCACGCACTGCTACGCGCGGCGTGGATGGGGGCTAAACTAGATGGCTGCGACTCACAACAGCAGCTACCGCATCTCCTGCAACTTCCTCTAATTTATTTGCTCGTGAGTCCCAGGCATCTAGTTTAGATTCCCATCCACGCTGTGTGTAGCGTTTTGCGCATGCCGAAAAGTGTGAGAACAATGACAACGCTAATCTGCATTGGAGCGCGTGGTCTGCCCGCCATGTGTCCTATCATCTGTAATGTTGCGTGTCTCGAAACTGTCAATGGTCGCTATTATCGTCTGCAGTGTAGCGTCTCTTGAAATTGTAAAGTAAATCAGTTTTGCCGCGATTTGTTTCTTGGCAGAAAATCCACATTTTACGACGACTGAGGCCCTGTTAGGCAACTGTTATTTGGAGGATAGCCAAAAAGTGCACCCAACTTACAATTAATTAGTGTTAGTTTATC